AGAGAGAGAGAGAGAGAGAGAGAGAGAGAGAGAGAGAGAGAGAGAGAGAGCTGTCAAATCAGTTCAGACTTATAATTTGTCGGGAAGAGGTTGATTAGATTTGCACGAGGGGGGGGGAAGGCGGGAAAGGAGAGAGGTGTGCAAGGTGGCCGGAGATAATTTGGTGCGTGTACTGGTCGGGCGGGGTTCAAGTCGAAAGAAGTGTGCGTCCGAGCTGCATCAGGCCTATCGGAGGCATATCCCTTTTATCGGTGATTCGGTGGATTGCGGTTCATCTCACCAAGTACGTTCAAAGAAATTTCCGCATAGCTTGACAGAGGTAGCTTCGCTGTGTTAAACAGGACAAAGCGATACATCCCCCACAGTGCCCACACTACCCCTTCTCGGTAACCAGGACTTAGTCGTCGAAGGAAAGGCACGTGCTCGGCAACCACGGCAATAACCGAGAATGGTCCGGTAATGACCATTTTAGTATGATCGGTGAAGGGTTGGAACGGGATCAGGAGGAAGGGAGCGAGCAACTGCGACGACGACGGGAGCTACGTCGACGACGAAGAAGGAAGTTCTAACATCTGAATATCCCAGCCTCCCAGGCACAGGAGCGAGGTCTGAAGGCTCATGGTTTCTCAACTGTCAAGTTAACCATTGATTTAGTCTGTCGATTATTCTGTCGCTCAGTGGCTCTCTGCTCTTGGGCTGCGTTTTCGTGGATGGGCGGAAGATTACCACGAGCGCGCTTTGGCGCGCCAAGGCATGAAGCGTTAGCTGGTCCAAATTTGAGTTTTTCGTCGAGTTCGGACTTTCTGCCCCTTAATAAATCAAGCCAGTCAGTCCTTGGCAGCAAATTTGAGTCTTTCGTCGAGTTCGAAATTTGCGTTTGGACTGGCAGTGCCAGCCTTGCCCGGCTTTTTATTTACTTACTTATTAGTGGCGCTCTCGGCTGTTCATCGATTTCAGTCCGTGGTGTATCGGAGATTTTGTTTTTTTTGGCAATGAGCAGGATGACTATCATCAGTGTCGTGCAGCTGTTGTGAGTGTCAATGCACGAGCTTGCGGCCGTCGTGTACGTTTTTCATTCCCCCTCGCGCCATCGCCAGATCGGATCCGCGGGAAATCCGAAGTCCTTTCGCTGAGAGATCGGAAGATTGATGGATCGTTTGATTGAGCGGGAGTGACTATTTATTCTTCCGATTGATCGATCGATCAATCAACCAGCCAGTCACGGAATCAGTCGGTCAATCAACCAATCAATTAATGAGTCAGTCATAGGTTTGTCGGTAGATCGGTGGGTGGACCGATTCATCTGTCTGTCTGTTTATACTGCTGGAAGGAAGAGAGGAGGAGCGTGTGGAGTGAGGACGACCGTGAGGAGGAAGAGCTGTCTCTTATACACATCTAGATGTGTATAAGAGACAGGAGAGAGAGAGAGAGAACAAGCTTATGTTCTCGGCACTCGTCCTACCAGCCAATCAATCACAGAGAGAGAGAGAGAGAGAGAGAGAGAGAGAGTCGCTATCTGTGAGGTGCGATGGTGAGTATTCGGAAGAAGAAGTCGATAGCGGATCTTCGGACGAAATCGGTGAAACAGGAACCACAATCGTCGTCTCAGCCAGCGAGTTCCGTCGTCGAGCCGGCGGTCGCGACACCAGGAGAGGGACAGGTGGTAAGCTCTTCTCCTTCGGAATATGTCCAAGGGAGTCCACGGCTGTTTGCTGAGCAAGAGATAATTGCGAAGAGGAGCGAGCTCAGCCTCACACCTCCTACAGGTGACAGAGCGAGTAATGCCGTTCATCCCGATACCGAAAATTCGGCGCAGAGCTTGAAGAAGAGGAAACGGATCTCGTCAATTGGTAGGTATCTTTCTCGCTGCTGATCCATTACGTACACTCTCCCCGCTCTCTCCTCCCTTTTCCTCTCCTCTCCTCTCCTCTCCTCTCCTCTGTGTTCCAGAATCTCGTCTCCTCTCCTCTTTGCTCCAGAATCTCCCTTCCTTGGGCTTGACGGTTGTCTCGGCGATTTCCCCGATGTTCTGAGTATTGGCCGCCGCCAATCCCTCCTTCACCCAAATGACGGCTGGATTCCGATCCCGAATCTCACACGCGTTCATTGGCAACAATTGGCATGAAGAAGAAATCATACTCCTCCTGAAACCAACAAATTTCTCTCTCTTTCTTCTCGCATTGTGGCTCTCTCGCTCGCTCGCTCTCTCGCTCGCTCGACTGCCGAGCTATCTCCTGACGTTGTCAATCACATCGATGAGCTCTGTGTCTTTTCTCGCTCTCTGCTCTCTTCCTCTGCCGCTTGTTCGCTCGTTCGCTCTCTCTCTGTGTTCTCTGTCTGTTCTATCAGTCACCCATTAATTAGAACCAAGCCCATTAATTAGTAGTAATCACTCACCGTTCGAAAGGGCGACGCGTGTAATCACTCACCGTTCGATCTGTTCCTTCCGCTAAGGCTTTTATTTGTTGCTCTGATTGGACGTCCATGTCGGATCGGGGGTTCGTTCGTCGTTCGTTTGGTTCCATCTGGATTCGAACTCTGATCTGCAATTCAACAGTTGGTGGGTGTACCAACTGAGCTCAGCTCGTTGGTCTTTCGTCGTTCCTACACAGCAAAAAAAATCACCCCCTTTTTTAAACCCCTTTTTCCCTCAGTCTGCGGACCCCGTCGTCGGATTAGAAAGCAGGTGGGATAAATGATAGCAACTGGGAGGGAGGCCGTTCTGTCGCGTTGCTGACGACGACCTTTACGGCGGCAGAGCTGCCGCTCTGCCCCGTTAACTACGGTTCGGTTGTTTTCAATAATATGTGTATACGTAGAAATGCATTTCGGGATGCAAATTGCATTTTGTCAATGAATATATCGCGCTGTATTAATAGTTATGCGACTCTGTTTCCACGAAGACGAAACAGTGAAACAGTAAGCGCATGGGTAGCATCTTTTCGTATGTGCTCTCGCATCGTTTTAGACCTTCATGGGCGGGACGGGACGAAAACACCAATCTTTCAGGGATCGGCTAAGTTCTAACGAGAGGGCTCTCGGAAGCACCTATTATTATAAGCACAAGGAGAAAACCAATCATAATAATAATTGAGGATGAAGAGCAGCAACTGCGAGGCTGGTGAGAGTTGGGCAGTCTCTGATATATTTACGATTGTCTCGTCTCTAAATTTCATGCAATTCTGTCCCAGGAAGGGAAAGCACCACGGGGCACTCTGAACGGGGTTATGCATCTTGATGAGTCTGTCAGAATACTCGAAACAGTTTGCCATTACGTCCCTTTTTTTCTTTCCCACGTCGCTATATATAGCAGGCGAGAATCTGACTAACTACTCTCTCTCTCTCTCTCTCTCTCTTTCTCTCTCTCTCTCTCTCTCTCTCTCTCTCTCTCTCTCTCTCTCTCTCTTGGCAAAGAGAACTGCCCACTGAGACGTCGGTAGAAAGAGGAGAAAAGGATATTGCAAGAGTAGGGGTCTGTGACAGACCGGTGCATCGGACTTTCACTCTGTGTGTGTGTGTGTGTGTGTGTGTGTGTGTGTGTGTGTGTGTGTGTGTGTGAGAGAGAGAGAGAG